AGTGTCGCAGAAATTTCTTTTCCATTTATGGTTGTCACCAGTGGAATGCTCTTCCAGAATCGGTCTTCTCTGCACCGACACTAATAATATTTAAAAGACTGTTGGACGATGCACTCATCCACTTACACTTTGTTACTTAACACTACGTCTCCTTCCTACACCTGGATTTTGTCATGGAAATATTTGATGTTAACTGCGTGTGTTTTGAATCTAAGCGGATCGTAGGACTACGGCGAAGCAAACGATAAGACCTTATTTTCATGTATAAAATACTAACGATTTTACTATTATTATTATGATTAATGTTATGTCGATATTCCCACCAAAGTTCCAACGTGACTTGTAAAAAATGGCTTCTTAACCCGTATGAATTCATTGTGCATTGTTCAGGTTGAAGGCCATAAGATATTTTAATGTTGAGCGACGTCGTTTGTGGGCTGATCTTATGCTAATGCATCCGTTCCTGCGGAATCCAAAGCACTCGTACCCACACGCACTGAAACTTATTTACAAAACCTTGAGAAAAAAGACATTTATATTTGGCCATGCACCCTTACCGGTTGGAATGCCGATGGAGCATTATCCATCTGAGTGTGTCCCATTCGTGGTAAGCTCTTCTAATTGTTTTCGTTTTCACTCATACGTTAACCAAATTTAAAACAAGACTTGATGCACGCTGTTCCCCAAGTTGCGTAGTCGATCCAAAGCTATTGGGACACGGTAAAACGTAATGAAACTGTTCAAATTTGAATCCAACGGTAAATCCAACGATACTAGTCACTTGTCTTTATTTGATTGCCTTAAAGGATTAGTAGACTAGTCCGAAACGACGCGCGTAGTCAAGCGCGGATATCAGGCAACTGAAATCAGACACTAGGAATTGTATTCGAGCAAGGCTACAAACGGACGAAAAGGAATGAAGCGACGAGAACGAACGTTAATGTCGTGACTCACCGTGGATACAAGTGATGAGCCGGACGTTGGTAACATTGGACATAGGGTCGGCATCAAAACAAAAACAATTAATGTATGATTGAGGAACAAACTTTTAGATAAAAAGATAAGAAATGTCTTTTGAGTTGCTGCAATGCTTTCCTAGATGACTGAACTGGGAAGTTTTGGAAATCAAAAGTGTTTATGAATCGCAGTTCGTAATAGGTATTCGTAAAAATGGAATATCTGTTCGTGTTCGAAAATGGATATAGCCGACAATTAGGATCCCTTGTATTGATTGGTATTTATACTTTTTTGATTGAGCGGTATGCAGAATTTCAGTGAGCCGTTGGAGCGAGCTTGTCGTACCGCAAAAGATACTGGCTAGCTCATAGGAAAGGGCGACAGGACCTCAACCTACACCGTTGCCAAGCGGTGCTCTTGGGAGTGGTCTCTCCGCCGCATCCCGTCCGGCATCAAAACGACCCTCGTCCCACGAAGCAGGTCTAGTTTTCGAGTTTTACTTCTTCTTGAGTGTGGCGATCTTCGAAAGCGGCGTTCGTGAGCGCCAGTCGTTAGGGCAAGAAGGTTAACTCATGTATGAAGAAGGAAAGAAAAACGCACGCAGAAAACCGAAAACCCTAAAAACAAGCACGATGAGTGCAACACTGTTTGGTTTGCTGTGTTTTTGCTCTTTTAAGTTTTCAAAAGCCTTTGCTTGTTTTTGCTTTTCTTCTCTAAACGTTATTTAACAAAAAGTGGAGTGTTTGTATACCATAGTTACAACCTAAATGTGTTTATATAGTATACAGTCGTAAAAGGGAATGGGCTTACGAACCTCCCGACCACGGCGGTTGGTCGTTGGGGAAGAGATGTGGGGACGGCTGACGCTTGCAGACCGATATCGTTGTTTAGTTTGATGATATAAGAAGGTTGAAATGTGTTGCGGTTAGTTGTAACGTCGCACGAAGCATTGCTAGACGATGGAGGTGAGGTAGTGTCCCCTACACAGGCTGGCTTCAGACAGTGGATGGTGACAATTTCGTGTCGGCCACCGCGGTTGATCCTAAATGTCTTACCTGTTCGGTTGATTACTTTGAAGGGTCCGATGTATGGCGACTGTGAAGGCTGTCGCATACTATCTACGAGAAGCAGTCCGTGAGAGCGAGTAGACAATTTTCGGGCAAGTTCACCGGTGTCTTCTGCAACCTTGAAGCGAGTGGGCGCAGCTCACGTATCGGGTGTGCCAATCGGTCATTGTAACTTCCGTAATCGGAGGAGGAAGTAGACGGAGCTGGTGATGTCATTTGTCCAGGCAAAAGCAACGTGCAGCAGTAAACTAGCTGCGCTGCTGTTGCGTCGAAATCGGTTTTAACAGTATTTCTTAAGCCTAGGAGAACCGGGGGAAGTGTTTCAGACCATGAAGGATCTGTGTGTGCACGTAGCGCTGCCTTCAACTGGCGGTGTAAACGCTCCATCATGCCGTCAGCGGCCGCATGATACACTGTCGTCTAGACGTGGCGATAGTTTAAATCTTTAAGCAACTTGACAAAAGTGGACGAGAAATGTGACCCTCGATCGGTGGTCACGATGGCGGGACAGCCGTACTGAGCTACCCAGCGCTGTAAAAATGCCTTTGCTACTGTTTCCGAAGAGCAATTCGGAATCCGAGTAGCCGCTGATCACCTGGTGCTTCGGTTGATGCAAGTCAGTAGGCATACCGAACCTTTCGAACGCCGCTGATGGCCTACGTAATCGACGTGTACTTGGTGAATACGTGCTTCTGGTCACGAAAATGTACCTACTGGGCTTTTCGTTTGATTGTACACCGATGGTTGACAAAGAGGACAAGCAGCTGCCCAAATAAGAATGTCACGATTGACAATGCGCCAAACGAATCGTGCGTTTACGAGGTTAACCGATACACGAACGCTTGGGTGTGACATGCCGTGCAACGTGTTGAACACGGTCTGTCGAAACTCCATTGGGACAAATGGGTGCTGGGTACCCAGAGGTAAATTACAAGCCGTGGTTCCGTCAAATAAGGTCAGCGGAATGTGTCATATATTCAGTGAGGGAGACCTACATAGTTGATCAACCCCAGATTATGGCTGAAGGGTCGACAGCAGTGTGGGCACCAGCGGAGATCGCTTGGATTCGGGGGAAGGCTACAAACGGAGGAAAATGAACCAGTTTATACAGCTAGAGAACCGTTGCTTTACAAGTCCCGTTGAATAGCTGGTGGTGATATCGGCATAACAATAATGATGATAATGATAATTAAACAATTAGCACTTTAAATATGAAAATAAGGAATTATCCTTAATGTCCTGACTCACCGTGGACACAAGTGATGAGCCGGACATAAGTAAAATGGCCGTAGGGTCGGCATTAAAACAAAAATCAATAAGGTTCGATTGAGGAACAAATTTATAGATAAAAAGACGACAATTATCTTTTGCGTTGCTGCAACGTTTTTTTCTCACACTTTCACCTACCGGTATGATTCGAAATTCGCTTTTTACCTGCGATAAATCTGTTTCTCTACTGTACTTTGTAATGTTTGCATTTTCTTGCTACTTGGAATGTTTCACCCTAACACATGCCAAGTTACAATGTTTCATCCGGGGATTTGTTGTGTTATCTGCGGAGTGGTTAGTAGCCTTGTATAATGGCGTTCCAGGTTTTCAACTAGCATACAAATTGTCAAGTGCTGTTATAGGTTTTCACTGTGTTGCGCCATGATATTTCCGCTAAGTCACGAGTTCCAGTTTCTGCATGGTCCTGGGTTGAACAATAGTACTTTTATCTGTTTATCTTAATGTTTCTCCGTGAATGTTTTGTATTCCAACCACCTACTCTATAGACCATGTGATATGACGTTTACTGTGCATACATTTTCTCACAGTACTTTCATGGAACAGGCTGGAAACACCGCTGATGGCTCAAGATGGAAATAAAGATCGATTTTTGCCACTTCAGTATGTTATGCCAAAATTAAACTTCCTTAGTTGACTCCCACTTACAAGTTCCTCTTGTCTTTTCATTCTCCGGAAAAGTTAGGCTTGTATTCGTGCACCGATTTCCTTCTCGACGAGACTGCACTTTCTGTGTTGCGGCATTATGCCTATTCTCCTGGTCCACAACGCTCAGCACGGCCAGAATTTCCAAGTGACTTCAGAGGCGCTCATGCTAACCATTTAAATAAAAAGATAATGCATAGTCTCGACCCAAACATTCTCCTCCTCCTCGATGTTTTAGGGGTGGCTGAAAGTCTTTCCTACCTTGAAACTTACTCACAAGAGTCAATGGTTTACGAGCTACAAACTCGATTTGCACAGTCCTTTCTGAGTAGAGTATGTACTGTCTACAGACGAAACAGTCACCGTTAAACGTGAAGACCCATTAAAATTTGCCTAAGGGTTCACCGTTGTCGCAGATACACAATACGATACGGTTAAATGGTACACTTGAAAGGAATCGAATGGTTTAAGTCTGTGTGTACTGGCTTCAAGCAGATTCCTGTGGCGCACTTTTCGTTTATTCATGGGTTGAGGGACTAACAACTGCATTGCAAGATATGATGTACGGCGGCGGAAGTCAACGACTGCTCGTGAACCGGAAAGATAATAAAAGCGAAATTGCAGAGAATCAAAAACAGGCGCAATGGATGAAACGAGACAAGGTTCTGCGAGCTTTTCGGATCGAACCGACAGCGGATCACGAGCGTCACCTGGTAACGTGCCTGGGCCCAGAACAGTGGAGGAGGTGTTTGTCGAGAACGCAATGAAGCAGATAAATACGACGCTAGCGAAGCCCGCGAGAATGAACGCGGATCGAGTGATGCAGCCACGGGAGAGCAACTCGCGAGCTTTCGAACAACTCGTGGGCGGCCAGAATTGGATGTAGCGAAGCTGAGATACAGGATGGAAAGTTGGAGGGGTTGTCTCGAAACGCAACCCCGTAGGCACTTGGAATGGCCCTCACACAAACCCTCATCGGAGTTGAGTCGTGGGAAGGAAACACCGTCCAAATCTGTACGGGTTTGTGAGTTGTCAGTGGCGTACTCTGATGGCAATACATGCTCTGTTCCCTCCGCGTCGTTCTCGCTACACTGGTGCCGTGACCAATCAGGATGAAGCTGACCTCGAAAGCGCAATTCTCGCACGTGGACGTTGAGTCCTGGCTCGACGAATTTGAAGCAATCGCTACATACAACGGGGTCAACGTTTGCGAAATTTGCTAACAGCTTTGGGCACCCAGTTGGATGGAAGAGAGAAGGCGGTGTATTTGCGAGCTCGGAGGCCAACTCCTTCTGTTCGTTCATTGAGACGATGGCAGCATTGTGTGCAGATTTTTTAACGGAAGACGATAGATAGCGAGAAATGGAGATTCCACTCACCAGATGGAATGAACAGGAGGATTTGATGGTGTTTTCCGGCAGCTAGACGGACGTTTGTCGATTGGGTTACCCGAGTTGGAGTGTACCGTAATAGAACGGCTACTCAGACAGCAATTGGTGCGGTGCCTGCCGAACCCACTGCGTGACAAGGTAAAGTTGGCAGCGATGGTTGGAGAGAACAGGGTGGAGGACCTGGTGACGGTTGCCCAGAATTTTTTGGAGTGCGTGACTGGGAGCAGAGTCCAGCATTCCGAGTTGGAACACAGAGTAAACCAACTGTCCGGTATAGTGGAGAAGTTGTTGACGAGGGCGACTGCAAGGGGGATTTCACTACACAGTGAACATGGAAGCCGTAAAAGTCGCCTTTGTTTCCAATGCAATCAGGTGGGTCATGTGGCTAGATCCTGCACCAAATGCAATTTGTACCGCTGTTTCTCTCTATCCTGGTCGAATAGGTGGCGGGTACCGGTCGTCAGGGTGACTATTGAAGATGTGTCGATCCGTGTAGTAGTGGACACGGGAGCGGGAGTGTCCATTACGAAAAGGTACGAAGGAGTTCCAGTAAATCAGCCGTCGTTCGTGACGCAGACCGTCTGTGGACATCGGTTGACAGTGACGGGCACACAGCGGTTGGAAATCAGGACAGGGGAAACGCTCATCAGTCATGCTATGTTAATCGTGGAGGAGACCACCGAAACAATCATCGGCAACGATATCCTCAAACGGCTAGGTGCCACAAATGATCTGCTAAACGATTTGGTAATCATAGGCAACGAAACGATTGAGATGAACACTGGGAGAGTCAGTCCAGTAGGTGTCTTCAAGGTCCTATCTGACTCCAGCACCCTGAAATACGGAGTGTACTGAGCAAGTATGCCCACCTATTCACGGACACAAATGATGAGTACGCATCCTGCAGCTGGGTTGAACATCGGATACTATTAATCCCTGGAGTGCAGTGCAACCCGATCTTCAGAAGAACACCGTAGAATATGCTGACGAAGATACGAAAATAGGTAGTAGAGATGGAAACGAAAGGAATCATAAAGTGAACACACAGTCCGTATTCATCACTCGTGCTACTGTTGAGAAAGGCCGATGGTACCTATCGAGATTGCATTGATTTCAGAGAACTGAACAGAGTGACAGTGAAGGATGCGTTTCCGAGGCCCAAGGCGGAGGTAATTTTTTCCCGCCTTCATAGCGCCAAGCGGATTTCCTTGATAGACCTCCCATCGGGATATTTGCAGCTGCCCATCTCAGAAGCAGATGGCCACAAGACGGATTCCAGTGTGAATGGCCAGCAGTACGCGTTTCTAATAATGCCGTTTGGATTATGTAACGCCCCAGCTACATTCAGACGCCTATTGCTGATGGTGTTGGGGCACCTACAAGGCGTAGTTGTCTACGGGGATGACATCATCGTGTTCTCCGAGACAGAGCACGAACATGGCATCAGGCATGCAGCAGTACTACAAAGACTGGAAGAAGCTGGTCTGAAACTCATTCGCAAAATGTCACAGATCTCTCAGGAGTCGATTGTATATCTAGGCCACATTGTAGGCAACGGTCAAGTCCATCTGCTTCCGGAGAAACGCAAGACGGTCAACAGATTTGCAGTGTCGAAATCCAAGCGTCAGTTCCTTTCGTTCCTGGGAGTGATGAATTATGATTAGAAGTTGGTGTCCCATTTTACAAAGGATCAGCCCCTTGTTAAGGCTGCTTCACAAAGACGAACCGTTCGTGTGGACAGCTGAAACGGATCAAGCCTTAAACCACCTAAAAGCATGCATAGCAGAAGCCCCAAGATGCCTACGGCTACCCAATCCTGATGAGAGATTCACTGTGGCAGTCGAAGCAAGCAAAGTGGCAATCGGTCTGGTATTGTCCCAAACAGCCAGGGTGGTGGAATATGTGGGCAGAGAACGGACAGTGGCGGGGAGGAAGTATTCCACGACCGAGAAAGTACGTCTGGCCATCGTGTGGTCCTTGGATAAATGGAGAACTTACCTCCTAGCGACTGAATTGCAGGTCTTTATTGGCCATAAACAACCTCCATGGTTGGTGATAGCGAAAGACCCACAGAAATCCCTTGAACGGTGTACATATCGACTTGTTATATCCATCATAGATATTGATTAGATTGTTCAGTTACACCGCGTTCTTATTGGTTTTCGTCCCACTGGTCAATCAAGAGTCCTCACTCATGCATTAAATCGTGTTTCATACACGCCATGTCGCAATGATTCGCCCGATACACTTTGTTTCGTACTGTGTCTTGTTCTTCCTAACTGCGCTCTGGAGCGTGCATTGCTTGAATTCGTTACTACCTATTACTGGCGACGGCATCTAGATGAACGCTATCATTAATGCACCTGCTATACTTGGTCTTCCGCTGAGGAAAAACCGACCTTATCAAACTGGAGGCGGCAGAAGAACTCACTTATTAGCTAAATGGAACCTCTGCTTGTTTTGAATCCTATGCTTTCACTATCGCAGTCCCACAATATACGACTATTCAGACAATTACTGGGAGATGAAGGCCAGTGATATTATGATGCACTACATGTAGAAAATTGTGACACTATTGCATCGGCCTTGGGTAAATAAATCACACTGTGCGGATTAAAACAGAACGGGGATACTGCAAGAAACTGCTTTCAAAGCTTGTACAGAAACGGGACGACAGCGTCAACGACGTCATTGCACACACCCATCAGTTTATTCCCCAGTGTAATGAACAATGAACAATGATTTGTAACGGGTAAAAAAGCAGATGCTTGACATGCCCCGTAGGGTGTTTAGCGTGACAAAAAAATGATAGCAAAGGGATAATGGAGTCGTCAGTTCGGGCGCTTATAGATGTAACAGCACTGTCGTATAAAGGGAGTTTGAAATGAGAATGTACGCACACAAATCAACAGGGGAGTGGTTATTGTTCCTATCATAGGCGAGAAATATAAAAAAGATAGCAAGGACAACGCTTACTCGTGTGCAGCTATCTTGGGTCGACAGGATACAGAAATCCAGTTTCTGTAGGAGTAGCGTTTATCAAATTTCGTGCAAAGCGTTTGGAGTGACTCATTCTCGAGTAGGGTTATGGCACTATCCCCTGTCTGTTGTGCATTAATGCCAGCATCTGGTGGTCATGAGCTATAGCACGTAGTGTAAATGTGACAGGGTATCGTCAAGGCGTTTTTTGAAAAGGGATAGGGTGGCTGCAATAATTACATGTTCCGGGAGGGCGTTCCAAGGCTGTGACACTCGAAGGGAGAAATAGTTTCGCCGACATTCCAGGCGGCTGTACTGCGTGACTAAATTAAACTGGTGACCTCTTAGCGAGGTGTTTTGACTGAGTATTAGGAGGGAATGGCATGGGTGGTAAGGGTCTCTCAGGATTAGGTACACCATTATGAGATCGCCCCTTAGACGCCGATAACGGCCATTGTATAGTTTCAGAGTCTTCAGCCAGAGTGGGTAGGGGAGGCCGGTCAAACCTCTGACGCTCTTCGTTGCCCTACGTTGTGCAGTATCGTGCGCGGTGAGATGGTGATTGAGCCAGGGTTGCCACGCTTGGATAGCGTATTCCACGTGCAGTCTCACGCACGCACTAAGCATTTTTGGAAAGATCGTAGGGTCAAACTTCCCGCAAGCTCTGCGAAGAAGGCCGAGGTACTGGTTCGCTTTCTTAGCTGTCTTTTCGGTCTGCCTCAAACAACCGAGGTCATGTTGAACTATCACGCCGAGATCGCACTCGTGAGAAGCCTGCTGTAGAATTTGTAGTCCAAGACGGTACTTGTGCATAGTCTCGTGCCGGATGCTGAGAACTTTGCACTTGGTGACGTTGAAATGTAGCATGTTCTCGATGGACCATGTGAACGCTTTGTCCAGGTCCTCCTGTAAGACTGTTTGGTCCTCCACTGCGGCTATAGTGCGCCATACCTTTAGATCATCAGCAAATAGCAAACAGTTAGAAGATAGCACACCCACGAGCTCATTTATGAAGACCAGGAACAGGCGGGGTCCAAGTACCGAGCCTTGAGGTACGCCGCATTGAACTTCGATGGATTCTGATAGGTTATTTCGAACCCTCACATTCAGGTGACGTTGCAGGAGAAAGTCTCCTATCCAGCCCAGAACAGGATCGCCGATTCCATATTTCTAGAGTTTGTGGAGGAGAATGCGATGGTCTATGCGGTCGAAAGCCTTTGAGAAATCCAAGTACGCCGCGTCGACTCCTATACTAGCGTCCACAGATTCCGTCCAGCTTGCATGAGCAATCAACATATTAGTTGTACAGGAGTGATTTTGGCGAAATCCATGCTGTTCCGGAACGAGAATTTGATTGTTCTCCAGGTACCCCGTTAAAGCCTGAGCTACAATGGACTCCATAACCTTGGAGATCACAGGCAGTAGTATTATCGGGCGATAGTTTGCTGGTTCAGCACGACTACCACTTTTGTAGATAGGCGTGATGATTCCGTGCTTCCACGTCGTGGGGACGTGCATCTCGTTCACACATCGTAGAAAGAAAATTGTTAGTGGTCCTGCCAAACTCATGGCAGCAACTTTCAACGCCTTCGGACGAATGCCGTCCGCACCCGGGGAGCTGAACTCGCGCAGAGACATCAGCCTCTTCAGTACAGCTGCGGAGGGAAACGATATGTGGTTTAGCCCTGATGGCGGCGTTAGCTGCTTAGGCAGGATGTATGGTGGTTGCTCGATATGAAAGGTATGGCCAAATTGTTGTCCAAGGACGTTGGCCGCCCCTTGTGCGGCTTGGGCTAACCCGCATGCTGTGTGCAGGGCAGGAATACCGCGCTTAACACGGCGCAAATTGTTTAAGTGTCTGTATAGCAGTTTGGGATTGGAGCTAAACTTTTCCGCTAGACTTTGTTGGTTCTTAACTTTATCCTCTCGAACCA